AAGGGAGAAAGAAGTAGGGGTTGGAAGACATGCATCACACACACGCGCACTTATTACACAATTCGCCCTCTCTCGGAGGGACCAAAAGAATAATACAAATTTAACTAACTAACAAGCTAATTAAATAGTTACAGACCACTTGACTAGTTAAGCAAATTAACTAAGCAAATAAAGCGGTAAAACAGCCTCGGGAAGAGGGTTCAATGCATGCGTGCTCGGCTTCGCTCGGAAATCCACCACAATGCACAAGCTGCCTCTGTTTACCCTGTTCTGCTCCTCTGAAAATTGTGCAAGTCTCAATGATGCTCCAGAATCACTTCCTGGTCACTGTGGAAGGTCACCGACCAAGAGGAAACACCACTGGCCAGGGGAAACTGGTCATCGACCATTTGTATGGCTCTCGGCCAAAGATATTTAGTTGGCCAGCACTGAGAATGGTCGGTCGACCATATCTTCCTGCAGAATCCTGTTTTGACAGCAGCAGAGGGCAAACAAGGCATGGCAATTCATTTCAAAGCAAATGTTTGCACCACCACACTCCTTATCATATTCATGACTCAAAAGAGGATGGCCCTCGACCCACAAGCCACCAATCACGCATTCTGATGCATGATGGCCCAAGAAATCAAGTTGTGCATTTTGGTGTCAAATGAAATGCAAACCAAAACAAACAATAGGCCCAACCTCTATCAAAATCAATTCAAGCGGCAAGGCATGCATGCAAAATTCAACCTAAGCATGCAAGCTAAGTATGCAATATGAGCATGCAAGCAAGTAATGAGCACTAGTCACACAACCTAAGCAAACAAGCATGCTAGACACGTAACAATAATGCTAATGACCAACATGCAACAACATGTGAAGAGGACTTAGCATAGGAACATGTAAAGCAACTTAACACAAGATGCATTCCAATTGCAACACCACTTGAACATGCAACAACGTGCCAATAGACCGAGTATGTGACAACATGCAAGGAAAATATACACACAAGTATTCATGCACACATGGTCCAAAACTTGAGCATGAAGGAGTAACTTCTAAGCCCAAAACAGTGGCTAATATGCTAAGCACATGAAAGCAAATGTACATACAAACATGCATGCAAACATGGTCCAATACTTAAGCATAGAAAGGGGACTTTTAAGCACACTTAAAAGGGGACAAACATGGACAAATGGCAAGCATGATAAACTCTGAAAACCATCCCAACTAAACAAAACAATCAAAGCATGCAAGCAAGGTTCAAGGCTCAAAGCTATCAAAGGGGCTTAAACCATGGCCGTACAAGGCAAGCCTCAAAGGGACAAAAGGACTGAAAACAGTCCTAAAGCAGACCAAAACAAGGTCAAAGACACACTTAGATGGCATCTAAATGGCCTAAGTCTAAAGGCATGCATGATGACCCAGACATGGAGCATAAAACACAAACCTCTTGAAACATCAAAGGAGCCATAAATGCAAGTATACAAGCATACTATATGGACTGAAATGGCATAACTAATGGTGCCAAACCACTGAAATGATGCAAGTAGAGCATGCTAGAGGATCCAACACCCAAGGCCTACAAAGGGGGATTGCACGGTAGCTATACAAAGCAAGTCATGGATGACCCAAATGACCAAAATCAGACCTCAAACATATCAAAACATGCATAAAAGCTTCACAAAGCTAAGCCAAAATCATGCTAAAAACAAGGTTCAAAGCACAAAGCATGTTAAGGCAATTTCATGACATTACAAGACAAGTATGCAAAGCATGCATGGTGTGTCTAAACCAACTAAAACAAGTGCTATATCATGGCAAAATAAGCACAAATACTACTTAAGACATGGCCAACATGAACTCAAGAAAGGTGCTCACACATGAGGCTAAAATGGCAAGTATTGAAGACAACAAGGAGAGGAGATGACCCTTTCCTTCTTAGGACCTCAAAACACCATCCCCACCACTGAGTGAGGAGGCCAACACAAGGTGGTCCCGGAGCTCACCAAAAGTGCACAAAAAAGAGGCCAAACAAGGCCTAAGAGGGGTCAAGCAACCCCAAACCTCAAAGAGACCTTAAACAACTATCAAAAGCAAGTAAAAACGGAACTTTTATTAGTTATACACTGAGCTTAAAAATAGATTGAAGGATGGCTAAAAGCCTATGCAAAAATGGGGAATAAAGGGGTAAAGTTCTTACCCTTGAAGACCTCTTTCAAGAACAATGCTCCAGCAGCCTCTCCAAGCTTAGATCAATTCAAGAACTCTGAAAATAACTCCTTAGTACCTCAGTAGCTAAAGGAAAGTGTAGCACTAGGTGTTTGTATGCAAAACTATGAACAAAAACACCTTAAACACACACAAAATGGAAGGAGAATGAGATATAGAGATAGAATAGATACACAATCCTCTAACCCTAATCTCAGAGCTCTGGAACTTTTTTTGGAACCCTTGAGGAGGGAGGAGAAGCCCTCCCTTTATAGAGGTTCACTCTTGCAAAGCTTACAAAATAAGCTAAGCAAGAGTGAAATCCCTCCATACACGTGTATGGAGGGGGTGCAAAGTGGATGCCAGCTATCACAGCTAGCATAAAATATCTGCCAAAAGTAGATGAACAGTGATCAGCCAGAAAAAAATGACAAATTGACCAAAACAATGGTCGGCCGACCAAAAAACGTGTCGACCGGCCAAACATTTGGCCGATGGCAACAAAACATGGCCGGTGGCCTCAAGCCATGGCCGGTGACGTGTGGGGATGGCCAACAAGCCATTCCTTGCCCTCAGGAGCAAAACAACAAGTGTTTGGTGCAAAACCAAACACAAAACAGGCAAGTCAAGAGGTTTTGAGGCAAGGCGCATGGCCGAGACCTCCGAGAACTCAGGACGAACATAAACATGGATGATCACCGAGTGTTCAAACGGTGACGTCCAAGTCTTGAGGACGGTCAAAAATGGGTTGTCTACAAGGTGGTCCGTTAGTACCCCGATGGTATGCCCCTGAAAGTAATGCATCAGCTTTCTCGCTGCCATGACAAGGGCCAGAATGAGTTTTTCCAACGAAAGGTAGCGTGTTTCGGCGCCAACCATTGCCTTGCTCACATAATACACTGGTCGCTGCTCCCCCAGCTCTTTCTTTATCAGTACGGTGCTGATGGCCCAGTCGAAAACTGCAAGATACAAAATGAGCGGGTCGCCTGCCGAAGGTGTTATCAAGAGTGGAACTGATCGGAGGTAGGTCTTGAGGCCATTGAAAGCGGCTTTGCACTCGGCGGACCATTCAAAAGCCTTGCCCTACCGTAGGGTATGAAAAAATTGTTGGTAGCGATCTGTGGACCGACTGATGAACCTGTTGAGTGCGGCGGCCATCTCCATCAACTTTTGAACCTCTTTCACTGAACGAGGAGAGCTGAGCTCCAAGATTGCTGTGATTTGCCTCGAGTTGGCTTCAATTCCTCGGTGGTTGACAATGTAACCCAAGAATTTGCTAGAGCCGATCCCAAATGCATATTTGGAAGCGTTTAGCTTTATTTTGTATTTACGTAAAATGTCGAATGTCTCTTCCAGATCAGCTAGATGAGTTTGCTCTTCTTTAGACTTGACCACCATATCGTCAATGTACACTTCCATAGTGTTGTCGAGTTGCTCCTTGAACATGGTAGTGACCAGTCTTTGGTAAGTTGTCCCCGCATTCTTCAGCCCAAAAGGCATAACCTTATAGCAATAGGTTCCTCTTGGGGTGAGGAATGCAATTTTGTCTTGGTCCTCCGAATGCATGGCAATTTGATGGTAGTCTCTGTAAGCATCGAGGAAGCTCATGCGCTGATGGCGTTCCATCGCATCTACAAGTTGGTCTATTTTGGGGAGGGAAAAATAATCCTTGGGGCAGGCTTTGTTTAGGTCCATGAAATCAACGCACACTCGCCAAATCCCATTTTTCTTCTTCACAACCACGGTATTAGAGAGCCATGTAGGTGTAGACACCCTATTTTTAACCAACCTTAAGACTCAGACATCATCAATTGAGCGCTCGGTGATGGTAGGTTTCGGAGTTTTGGCTGAGAGCCTTGCCTCCGAGCCTCTGAACTCTTTTGTGCTTCAGCTCGGTCTGAGGACCGAACTCTGTTTCTCTTCTCGGAGGGAGGGAGAGGTCTTGTAGACCATCTCTTTGTGGTCGTAGACCACTTTTCTTGGTTATAGACCGCTTTTCCCGTTTGGAGACTAGTTTTCAGTTTTTGGAGCCTTCGACCATACGCCTTGTCTCGGGATCGCTTAACGTTCTCCGTTTGGCGTGATTTTTGAACCACACCTTGTTTCCTCTATCTAGAAGGACACTGTGGTCCGGGAGACCACTTTTGTGGTCGTATACCACTTTTGGTGCTCAACAGCTGGGTTTCGAGGCTCCCGGCTGCGCGCTTTGCCTCCCGAACTCTCATTTTGCATCCGTGTTGGTTTGTTTTTAAACTATTCAAAAATTATAATTAAAATCATATAATTAAAAATAATAAAAAAATTCAACTATTAATCTATTTATTATTATTATTATTATTATTATTATTATTATTATTAAAGAAACCATTTTTATTATTATAATTAAAATCATATAATTAATCTATTTCTATTTTATTTTTATTTTTATTATTATTATTAAAGAAACCAACCACTGGTTTCTCAAAAAACCAGCCCATGGTTTTGACCATTCAAAGCATTATTAATTTATCAAAACGTGTTGCCTCTGTGAGTTCACCCAAGTAAGGCCTCCGTGAGTTCACCCAGGTAAGGCCAAGAGAGAGAGAGAGTTAATGGCAGTCAGAGCATCAGTCTTCTGTCTTATCGGAGTCAATGGCGATCAAAGCATCACTTCTCTGTCTAATCGGAGTTAATGGCGATTGGAGCATCACTACTCTGTGAGTTCACCCATGTTGTCTTTTGATGTGTATCTCTTTTGTTTGATTTAGTCGAAGATCGGAGCATCACTATTCAATTTTACTGATCTAATTTGCAATTTGTCTACACTCCTGTTTGGTTGATGAGAAAACTGAATGAAATATACATATATATATATATATGCATATATATATATACATATGATAAGAGAACACAGAGGGGGAGAGAAGAGAAGAGGATAAACAAGTAAAATTACTTCCTAATACCAACGGACTAATATACCAAGTGGTGGAGGAGACTATGAAACCTATTAGCAAGGCCTATCCTAAGCCGTTCGGTTTATCAATCCGTTGTTCAAATCTACAAACAAACGGGGGCATTAAATAGACCCAACGTCTATCCTAATCCCATTTCTGCTTCTACAATCCAAAACAAATGGGGCCTAACACTCTTAGTAGAAGGATTTGTGATTTCTGAAGTTGGCATTGCCTATTGTAGTTTCAGGCTACCCCTAGGCCCTGTTTGTTTTAGGATATAGAGGGAGGGATGGGATTAGGATAGAGGTGTGACTCATTTAACGTTGTGTTTATTTGTGGATTAGGTTGGGGGAAGGGAGATTGGGATGGAGGGGGTGGAGATGATATTAGAAAAATAGTCTGTCGGACTAAAAATTTTTTATTTTTTACATATTGGGCATTTTTTTTTTTTTGGAACATTAATGTTTAATTTTTGTATTTTTTGTTAAGTAAAAAATCATTGTTTTATTTGTTTTATTTTTTTCTAGAAATTTTTTTATTTTATTTTTAATTTTTAACATGTTGGGCATTTTTTTTGAACATTATTGTTTAATGTTTTTGTATTTTTTTATTTGTTTCATTATTTTATATTTATTTTATATAAAATAATTTAACAATCCCTACACTAACAACTATCATCAAAACAAAAATAATTTTACCTAATTTCCTCACTATTAATCCCTTCACTACCATTTTACTTCTGAAAATAAACGGGGTCTTAGTTCTTTCATCTGAATTTGTCCATCCATAAATAGACACCATTGAATTTTGGGTCTATATTAATCCCTTAAAATTAGTGACTAATGTATAGGGGAATCACTATTTGTGTGATTCATTCCTATATATTGATTTCCTATGTGTTGATTCACTATTCATTCCTTAAAGTATAATGCTATTCTCTCCGCTCTCTTTTTCCTACTCTATTGCAATTTTAAAAAAATAATAATAATAATAATTGAAAAGGAATAATAAAAAAATAATTTTAAAATGAAATAGAGAGAGAATACGAAGTATTATAGGAGAAATTAGTTGAAAAAGTGAAACTAAAATAAGAAATGTATTTTTTTAAAGTAAAATTTTAAGAAATATTATTCAGAGATAGAAACCTTTGTTTTCTCAAAATATTACAACCTGATTGCATGGAAGTTTATCAAGATGAATGCAGGTGTATACAAATGAAGTTTGTTGAGCTTGACTTGTTTTAAATTAGCATATTACATAAATAAGTCTGATTCGAATTCAATTCAAGATAAACTTGTAGCATAACGTTATTAAATTATTTAAACTTAATTAAAATTCATTTTTTAAGTTCACTAGGTGTTTAAAGGAATCAAATTTAAACAATCTAGCTTAAAGGCTGAGCATGTCGTTGCACCACAGACAACGCTGGTGTTCGTGCTTGAATATTTAAAAGTTGATGTCACAGTTTGAGGGATTTTTCAGGTGGAGAATTTGTCTTCTTTTTTTTGGGATAATTACATTTTATCTTTATGTGGTCTCGCGCATTTACACATTACCTCCCTAATGTTTATAAATATACTAATAAACTCCTTGTGGTTTTGAATGATGTGCAAAAGTAACGGGATCTGGTAGACTTAATAGCACGTGGAGCAGACGCGCTAGAGAAGCGTGTCTACACTAGAATTGAATGTTTTGGCACCAAATTTGGAGTTTTGAGTGACCAATTTGCCCTACCACTTGCTTATATAACCATGAAGCCACCAAACCAACTATTTCCAACCAAAAAATTCTGGGACCACTTACATTTTTGAAGATGTCATCCTCCCAGCTTAGCTCGTACATGCTACTATGGCCAAACGTCTCCGGTGAAAACAGCTTGGACAAATGCAAATATGGAAAGAAGATTTATACGATTTGCAAACTATGGGGTAATCACTTTCATTATTTGGTAATTAAGTAATTAATGTATTTATTTGTTATGTTATATAATATTAAAATAAAAATCTAAACTTATTTAAATTTTCAGATTCATGTCACTTGTGAATATTTTGAGTGGATTGACCCACCATTGTGCCGCCGCTCGTGTGATCTACTACCAAGACTTGTGCAACGAGTAAATCATATGGAGTTTGAAGTTGAAAAAACTCAAAAAAAAGGAAAAGTCGTATCGAAGAATATTGCTAGGAAGTTGGATACTGTTTGTATGCTATATTGCATGTACTCTAAAATGAAGAGAGAGAGAGAGAAAGAGAGACAAAAAAAAAGTGTTATGTAACCTGATATGAGGAATGAAAATATGTAATATTGAAGACTATTTTGAGATATAAATGAAATATATTTTTGAAATATTACAAAACCTGTTCAATACCAACACCTAAAGCATGTTAATTAAGCATCAACATATCACCATTTCACTCACAAAACCTAACCTATTTACCAACATTTCAACATTTGCATTACAAAACTTGTTTAATGTTCACCATTTCAATTACAAGACATTTGACAAACAACATGTGCACCTATTTGTTCTAATGTTGTAGCTATCCAAAAATATTGTTCTACCAACCAAGTAAGCCTTACAAATATTAGCAAAAGCAACATTTTAATTACAAAACCCTTAGAACTACCAATATTATGTTAACTATCCAAAAAGATTGTTTTAGCAACCCCAAATAACAGGCCTTACAAAAATGACAAAAAACAACTTTGCAATAATCAGACATTGATACCTAAACCTAATCCATAAAACCCTTTCCTCTATCCTTTGCATTCCTCCTAGGTGCTACAAATCCCCTTCCAGATTGGGCCACATGTCTACAAAACTACCAACACCTCTAACTTATGCACTTCCACTTGCACTTGCTCCACAAGGCATTGTTGGTTGTGTTTGAGTAGTGGCAGCTGGTTGGGATGAAGATGGGTGAGTACTGGTAGCCTCTTGGGATGAAAGTGAATAAGTGGCAACTAGTTGGGATGAAGATGGGTGTGTTGTAGCTTGTTGAGATGAAGCATTTGAGAACAACAATGAAAATACAAATTGAAATACACAAAATGAAATAGCTGAAATTGAAATGAATTTAGTTTGTATAGAAATAGTGCATTACAATAAATTGAAATGTACCTTACTTGGTTGAGTTGCAACTTTTCTTGAATTGCTGGTTGGTCCACCTCTTCTCTTAAATATTTAGAATTTTTTATGTACTGGACCTTTGCATGATCTTTTGTTGTGTCCAAAACCCATACACATTGCACATTGCACTGTTTTGTTTTTCCTTGACACCTTATTTACATTCTTAGGCTCATCAGCAGCTTTCTTCCTCTTTTTTCGGGGTCTCCCCACTGGTTTTCCACAGTAAGGGGGGGCTATGGCATCATATCCAGTCTCAATCCAATCGTGTTTCCCTGGCACAATTTATCATCAAAGAATATTGTAGACGTCCCCGAACGCCCCGGGAGGATGAGTCCCATTCTGTTCATTTGGGGTTCACTACAGTTCGGACTCTCAAATTGTCACGGTTCTAAATCTGAACCAAAGAGTCCAAATCCGGCAAATCGTTTTGAGAAAACAGATTTTTGAAAGAAGTGTCAAACATGGACTGCTTTGCCAGATACAGAGTCGCCACCTAAATATTTTATTTTGGGAAAATTTAGGAAACCCTGACTAGTTTGCCTAAGGCCACGTGTCCGTCATCACCAAAGTTGCCTCGGCTCGGGAACTTGGGTACGATTGGGGAAGGTCACTTCGTGAGCACCCCCACTCGCCCGATCAAAGATTGGCCTCTACTAACCATGATATTTAGTTTTGAAAACATTGTGTGTTCTTATTCCGGTTATTAGCCTAGATTACTATGTGATGCGCACAACATACAAGTATAGACTGGGTCGCCTGAATTTGAACAAAATATTTCATGTTTGTCTTTGAAAGATGGTTTGCTACTCGCAAGTAGGCTTTAAAATGTAGATTTTGCCACTCTCGGGTGGGCTTAGAAAAGATGGTTTTGCCACTATCTAGTGGGCTTAAAACAAACAGTTGATGATTTATTCCAATCCAAGTAACTCAACCTTCACCCACAGGCATTCAGGCAGTTATATCACATAAGCAAATAGCCTCATGGTAAGCATGCTATTCATGGCGGTCACTCACACGCATGCAAGGATGCTAAAGCATAAAACTTACCGAGTACTCCAAGCCAAAAAAAAGAAGCTAATTAGAAATCCATGCATAATCCTAATTATACAGAAATGCCTAATGCAACACATGCAAAAATGCAACTATAGCAGACTCGGCAATTCTAAACATGGCATGTGAAATGCTACAGCTAACAAGTATTCAACTTTGAAATTGAAATACAATGCAGTTAGTATGATGCGCCGAGCTCGGTGCATGCAAAACAGATGAATGAATGCAAACATGCTATCATACTGTATGCTAATTGAAACATGCCCTAATCTAACCATCATAAGCGGGTAAATAAAAGGGAGAAAGACGTGGGGTTGGAAGACATACAACACACACACGCACACTTATTACAGTTGTGCCCTCGCGCAGAGGGTCCGAATAAATAGTACAGTCTAAATATATACAAATTCCTAATTAATTTACAAATTAACTAAGAAAGCTATAGACTGGCATGCAAACCAGGGACTGCCTTGACTCTGATGAATGATGCATGTCTGGGCTGCCTTGCACGGAAATCCACTGGGAGGCCCCGATTAGCCTCTGTTTTGTAATTTTTCTTGGAAAGCGCGCCAAGCTCCGGAAGGTTGCTGATTCTTGATTTGCTGCATCAGAGAGCAGGAAAGGGGCATAGCAATGTATTTTCACAAATGTATGCATGCCTCGATCCTCGTGCCACCAATCACGCATCTCAATGCATGATGGCCGAGGAGTCGAAATGTGCAACTCAATATAGAATGAATGCACATGAAAACTCAACTAAAACCTAACTCCATCATGGATAATCCGGAGTGTCGGTGACTTGGAATTGAGACACGTTTCGTCACTCGGAGTACGAAACGTACCTCGTTTCCCGTGCCCGGGCTAACTCCTACCCCAAACACGATGCAATATGCATGATATGCATGAATGCAACTAATATACAACCTAGCATGCACAATGCTATGAAATGGCATACACGATGCACGAGGTAACATGTCATACATAATGCTCTAACATACAACCTAGCATACACAATGCTATGAAATGAAATGGCATATACAATGCACAAATGGACTTACACTAACACAAGTGGACCTCAGCCACACTCACATAAGAGGCCATAAGATGAAAATGAGACACTCGAAATGCGTGCAAACCGAGGACCGAACCTAAGGCACGAATGCCACTCTACCAAAGCATGGCAGGGCATGGAACATGGCATACAAGCATGCAAATTACAGTACTAAAATATGCCCCAAAACAGTCCCGAATCATAAAAGCATGGCTCCTGATGCATGGAATGAAACCGAAATGCAAAACTAGGCCTATGCATTGGCCTATAGCTATACAAAACATGCATCATTTGAATATGGAATGTAAAGACAGAGTCAAGAAAGCCCAAAAATAAGCACATTTTCAGCTTTAAGCAAGGCCAAAAAGTAAACACAAATAGGGCAAAACTAGCATGCAAAATGGCCCTAAATGTGAGATAAAGAAGCAACTCACAGCTGCTGACCCCAAACAGATTAGGGCCCTTCAACAATGTTGAAGAGGGGCCAAAAATAATGCACTTTACAGTTGATGGCCGAACCCAAAACAGTATGCAAGAATGCTCAAAATGCTATGCAAAATAAGGCCAAAAAGAGAGATATAACACAAAGTATATAAAGGATGCCTCAAACAATGAAAGACCCTTAATGAAACATGAAGATGGGGTCAAAATAAGGCCATTTGTAGTTTGGACCACAGCCCAAAAACAGAAGCAAAAGAGGCTAACAAATCATGCAAAATTATGGCCAAAAAAGAGATATAAAGGCAAGTAGCAAATGGAAGCCACAAACAGTGATGAGCCCTTCAACAATGTTGAAGAAGGGCTCAAAATAAGAAACTTAACAGTTTATGACATGCCTCAAAACAGTCTACACGTAGGCCAAAAATACTACACAAGGAATAGGCATACAAGAGGGATAATGAAGCAAGTGCAACAAGGAGACCTCAAACAGGTAAAGGCCCTTAATCAAACATGAAAAATGGCTCAAAATAAGCCTAGTTCCAGTTAGGGTCGGAGCCCAAAACAGCAAGAAAATATGACTTATAAAGGATACAAAAATAAGCTAAAAAGAGAGAAAATGGTGCTTACCCTTGAAGACCAAACTTTAGGCAACTCTTGGCTTAAGTTTGGTGACTCTTAGGCTCTGAAGAACAACCTCTAGCTGCTGGAATGGAGGATGGAAGGGTGGGGCTATGGGTTGGTGAAGAAAAGGGTATAGGACTTGAGAGGTTGGAGGGTTGAAGTGTATAGAGGGAGAGAGATATAACAAGAGGCTTGGGGGATTTTTTGTAACCCTAAACCAGCAGCTGGAGCTGTTGATATATAAGCCAAAGAGGGGGAAAAAAGGGGGGGAAAATGGAGGGAAAATGAGTCAAGTTTCCCTCCAAAAGTGCCAAACCCTCAGACATGGGTGAAGTGTAAAAAGAAATACATGCCTGGAATGCACTCACAGGGGCAAAAATGGCCGGCTAGTTTAAAAGGGGAAAAAAAGTCACCCACCAGGTAAGTGGTCGGCCGGCCAGAAAAAGTGGCCAGCCAGCCAGGTCAAAGGGGAAAAGTGGCCAGCCACCCCCTAAGATGAAGCCCCAGAAGTTAGCTTTCGAATGGCGCAAACCTTGCATTAAAATTTCTCCTGTAGAAAAAGTTATGCCTTTTTCCGTGAAGCCGCGCAGATTCGGTCCAACCGGACTTCAACCAACCACATCGCCCCCCCCCCGGACTTGGACTTAGGAGATTCTTGAGTGAAAAATGAAGCCCCAGAAGTAAG